GTCGGTGCGGGCGGATTTTTATGGATGAGAACTGGGGGTAGCCATATTTTAGGAAACCTCCATTTTTATATTTTTAGTAAATGATGGTAAATGATCTCCAGAAGGGGGGATATTATGGTGATTGTTTATCCCTTCAAACTGCCCCTTGACGATGTGAAGTGTCAAGAGAAAAGCTGCATCGCACCGGCGAATCTGCCAACAGAAGGATGCCCTGGTGACGAAAGCAGAAGCACTTTTTCGAGAAGAGGTTGCCAGTGAAGCATCCAAATTGAGGTGAATAATCCCAGCAAGGTATAAGTACAAATCAGAGATCGGCGAGGAGCTGAAAGCAGAGATGAGAGAGCTGCAGAAGCATCTCAGTCAGCAAGAGTTCAGACACACCCTGTCCCAAATATGTCTAAACACCCGACAAAACCATAAAAAACAATGATTTCTGGGTGGTGTTGAATATTCTGAGGATGGGATTACTCAAACACCTTCAACATTGAAATGAATGAGTTACATGTTTTTTTCAATGTGCCCCAAAAATGACCCTAATTGGGTGTTTCCACCATTTTTTTCCCCGAGAGCGTCTGAGCGCAGGGTTCTTCCAATAGTGGGGGTCTGTAAAACATCTTCTCATCTTCACATCTTCTCTCACATCTGCTCATCTTTACATCTTCTCTCACATCTTCTCTCACATCTGCTCATCTTCAAATCTTCTCTCACATCTGCTCATCTTTACATCTTCTCTCACATCTTCTCTCACATCTGCTCATCTTCAAATCTTCTCTCACATCTGCTCATCTTCACATCTTCTCTCACATCTGCTCTCACATCTTCTCTCACATCTTCTCTCACATCTTCTCTCACATCTGCTCATCTTCATACCTTCTCTCACATCTTCTCTCACATCTTCTCTCACATCTGCTCATCTTCACATCTTCTCTCCTTTCTCTCTCCCTTTTCTCTCTCTCGCCTTCTTTATCTTTCTCTCTTAAGGCCGCGGGTGGTGCCGGCGGCGAGTCACGAAACGTCAACCCTTTCGCACGAAATGAGGGTCGATCGTCAAAAACTGAGGAAAAATTGCGATTTTACTTGTGCTAAAGTAACCCTTTCGCACGAAATGAGGGTCGATCGGCAAAAACTGAGGAAAAATTGCGAGTTTACTTGTCCCGGAGCAACCCTTTCGCACGAAATGAGGGTCGATCGTCAAAAACTGAGGAAAAATTGCGATTTTACTTGTGCTAAAGCAACCCTTTCGCACGAAATGAGGGTCGATCGTCAAAAACTGAGGAAAAATTGCGATTTTACTTGTGCTAAAGCAACCCTTTCGCACGAAATGAGGGTCGATCGTCAAAAACTGAGGAAAAATTGCGATTTTACTTGTCCCCGAGCAACCCTTTCGCACGAAATGAGGGTCGATCGGCAAAAACTGAGGAAAAATTGCGATTTTACTTGTCCCCGAGCAACCCTTTCGCACGAAATGAGGGTCGATCGTCAAAAACTGAGGAAAAATTGCGATTTTACTTGTCCCGGAGCAACCCTTTCGCACGAAATGAGGGTCGATCGGCAAAAACTGAGGAAAAATTGCGATTTTACTTGTCCTAAAGCAACCCTTTCGCACGAAATGAGGGTCGATCGGCAAAAACTGAGGAAAAATTGCGATTTTACTTGTGCCGGAGCAACCCTTTCGCACGAAATGAGGGTCGATCGGCAAAAACTGAGGTAAAATTGCGATTTTACTTGTCCCGGAGCAACCCTTTCGCACGAAATGAAGGTCGATCGGCAAAAACTGAGGTAAAATTGCGATTTTACTTGCCCCGGAGCAACCCTTTCGCACGAAATGAAGGTCGATCGGCAAAAAACGGAGGTAAAATTGCGATTTTACTTGTGCTACGCCGAAATGAGGGTCGATCGTCAAAAACTGAGGAAAAATTGCGATTTTACTGCTAAAACAACCCTTTCGCACGAAATGAGGGTCGATCGTCAAAAACTGAGGAAAAATTGCGAGTTTACTTGTGCCGGAGCAACCTTTTCGCACGAAATGAGGGTCGATCGTCAAAAACTGAGGAAAAATTGCGATTTTACTTGTGCTAAAACAACCCTTTCGCACGAAATGAGGGTCGATCGTCAAAAACTGAGGAAAAATTGTGACTTTACTTGCCCCCGAGCAACCCTTTCGCACGAAATGAGGGTCGATCGGCAAAAACTGAGGTAAAATTGCGATTTTTCGTGTCCTGGAGCAACCCTTTCGCACGAAATGAAGGTCGATCGTCAAAAACTGAGGAAAAATTGCGACTTTACTTGCCCCCGAGCAACCCTTTCGCACGAAATGAGGGTCGATCGTCAAAAACTGAGGAAAAATTGCGATTTTACTTGCCCCGGAGCAACCCTTTCGCACGAAATGAGGGTCGATCGTCAAAAACTGCGGAAAAATTGCGATTGTACTTGCCCCGGAGCAACCCTTTCGCACGAAATGAGGGTCGATCGGCAAAAACTGAGGTAAAATTGCGATTTTTCCTGTGCCGGACTTGTCTGTGTGTAAAAGCGTCTGTGTGTAAAAGACTGTGTGTGCAAAAGCGTTTGTGTGCAAAAGCGTGTGTGTGTAAAAGCGTCTGTGTGTAAAAGTTTCTGTGTGTAAAAGCCTCTGTGTGTAAAAGCGTCTGTGTGTCAAAGCGTCTGTGTGTAAAAGCTTCTGTGTGTAAAAGTCTCTGTGTGTAAAAGCGTCTGTGTGTAAAAGCGTCTGTGTGTAAAAGCGTCTGTGTGTAAAAGCGTCTGTGTGTAAAAGCATCTGTCTGTAAAAGCGTTTGTGTGTAAAAGCGTCTGTGTGTAAAAGCGTCTGTGTGTAAAAGCGCTTGTGTGTAAAGGCCTCTGTGTGTAAAAGTCTCTGTGTGTAAAAGCGTCTGTGTGTAAAAGAGCTTGTGTGTAAAAAGCGTCTGTGTGTAAAAGCGTCTGTGTGTAAAAGCGTCTGTGTGTAAAAGCGTCTGTGTGTAAAAGTCTCTGTGTGTAAAAGCGTCTGTGTGTAAAAGCGTCTGTGTGTAACAGCGTCTGTGTGTAAAAAAGTCTGTGTGTAAAAGCTCCTGTGTGTAAAAGCTTCTGTGTGTAAAAGCGTCTGTGTGTAAAAGCGTCTGTGTGTAAAAGCGTCTGTGTGTAAAAGCTTCTGTGTGTAAAAGCCTCTGTGTGTAAAAGCGTCTGTGTGTCAAAGCGTCTGTGTGTAAAAGCATCTGTGTGTCAAAGCGTCTGTGCGTAAAAGCATCTGTGTAAAAGCGTCTGTGTGTAAAAGCGTCTGTGTGTAAAAGCGTCTGTGTGTAAAAGCTTCTGTGTGTAAAAGCCTCTGTGTGTAAAAGCGTCTGTGTGTCAAAGCGTCTGTGTGTAAAAGCATCTGTGTGTCAAAGCGTCTGTGCGTAAAAGCATCTGTGTAAAAGCGTGTGTGTGTAAAAGCGTCTGTGTGTAAAAGCGTCTGTGTGTAAAAGCTTCTGTGTGTAAAAGCCTCTGTGTGTAAACGGGTCTGTGTGTCAAAGCGTCTGTGTGTAAAAGCGTCTGTGTGCAAAAGCGTCTGTCTGTAAAGAGTTCTGTGTATGAAAAACTTTACAAAAATACGATGCAAACTATTGTCTTGTACTAGTCATATATTGTCTTGATACTACTCTTCTCGTCTGCCTATAATACATCTTTATCATATTATCTTGTAATATAGTGTCTCCATACTAACAACAGAAGACTCTGCTCCTCTACGCTCTCGGGCCATCCGTCGTCTAGTTTTCAGAACCCCATCTGTGGAGCCTCCATTTCTTTGTTTCCAGTTCAAGCCGACTTGAGAAGCCTTCGATCTGATCTGGGTGAGATGGAGGGATGGTTTTGGGTCAAAAATCACTGGTAAATGCCATCGGATTTTCCCCTAAGATAGCCATGAAAAATTGGGATAAAAAACCCACTTCTGGTCAACCCCAAAAGTCACCTGCATTCTGCAGTGCTCATATCATGCTGTCATTGTACAGATGCAGTGAGCCGATCACTGATCAATTTTGTGCGGTGCATGGGATATTTCACAGGTGGAATTTTGTGGGCAATTTGCTTTTCATTGGTCTTGGTAGGCGTGTACAGCCACAACGACCAACTCCACCCAAAGAAGGTCTCAGCGACGTGCACGTGCCAGTGCCCGTCACCTGATCCATTTGTTCAAGACTGGAAGCAATACAATTTCACGCTTGCAAGTGCGACAGGCCATCATCAAGTTGAAGCAGCACCATTCAAAAGACGACAAGGCTCTAGCCCTGCTCGAAGCCAAGATGTCGGAAACCAGTCACACATGGAGATGTGTCAACTGCATGAAAGTCTGCGGCAAATCACATCAGTTTTGTGGAGTGTGCGGTCAGTCCTGGCATATCTGTGCCGATCCGACCTTTCCCAGCAATGCAAAGACACAGCAGGGAACGCAATCCAGGAAGGTACAATGGACATATGCCAACAACTGGGATCCAGACACCAATTGGATGGAGCAATGGGATCAGACGCCATATCCATGGTCCAACTCGCCCAGAAGAAGGCAGACACCACGGAGACGGCCATGGAGGCAAAGGAAAACAGCAGGTGCCAGAAGTCCCAATGGGGCCACCGCCGATGACCAGTCTGTCAACAGCAGCTGCAGATGCACCATGGTTGGGAGTTCTCACAGCCGGCACGACAGCCCAGTCATCGTCCACCAATATGCAGGAGGACAAGAACATGAAGGCCATCATGTCGATGCTGCGCAAGCACAACGAATCTCTCCCGCCAGAGTTGCAAGCTATGGTCAAGGATGTTGCCATCAAGGATGGTCAAACCGAAACCAAACAGATGCACTCAGCTGTTACAGCACACGGCAGAGCAAAGAAGGAGCTTCAACAAGCCCAACTTGCCAGGTTCAACCTTCATGCAGCATGGAGGGGATTCCTCAGCCAAGCAGTCGCACAGTGGCAAACATACAGCGATCAATTTGTAGCCCAAGCTCAACCTGGCTACAATGAAAACCGCTGCAGGCATGGACGTCAAGGAGGACCACATGGTTGTCAGCGACGACGACACGGTCAAACAGGACAAAGATGCCACCAACAGCACTGCAGATCGCATCAAAGAAGGAATCAGCAATCTACATACCAGTTTGGATGCACTCCGCACATCGGCAGAACAGATGGTAGAGGAGGAGCACCAGGCCCTCAAAAGGCCCAGACTGGAGCCAGGACCCACAGACGCAGTACCACCTGCCTCAGGAGAAGCCTCTGGTTTTTAATTGGCGGAGCTAATATGAGTGAAGGCGGTATTGCTCCGATGCCAGTATTTCAGCCGTGGGGTCAAGATAGCATGATGCTCAAATGGACTCACTCCGTTGTCCATGACGCTGATTTTGTGTCCGAATGGGCTGCACAAGACAGTGCCTTTCATGTGGCTTGGTCGTTAGGAAATGTGGATCCAGACGTCACTGCACACAAAAGTTTGCATCCGGTGCCACTGAGTCGGCGGTCCCCATCCTGTCAAGCCGTGCATTGCACCCGTTCCAACGCCATCACTGAGGTTTTGTATAGCTGTGAGTCCACTGATTTTGTCCATCATGCCCTGGCGGTTAATTCAGCCTTTCACCTAGCTTGGCAACTTAACGGGTCCATCCAAGTTCCAACGGAATCCAACCCAAGTAAGGGGGTATGCATCAGGTCTGTCCGCAACAACAAGGTCACATTTTCCGATGTAGTAAGTGTCCGGGTTGGACCAGAAGATTCAGACGAAGTTCATGACTTTTCTGTGTCAACTGATGCGCTGCTCTCAGCACTGAAACCTTGGTCGTTGTACCCAGCACCCCTCGAGGACACTCCATTGCCTCAGGTAGTAGCTAGGGCGGGCAAACTTGATTCACCACCCACTAACATGATGACTATGCAGCCATGGTTGTACCAACCAGTCGAATCCAAGAGACATCCAACCCGCTGCAATGTCCAGATAACATCCGCCAGTCACCATCCTGCAGCATGTGCAATGCACGCATGTAATTCATCAGGGTTGCATTTTGTCAGCAGCCAAAGTTTTGTTGCAACTGCCAAGTATGAGAATCAGTGGATACACCCGAAGTGGCCCCACAGTTTTGTTCCTGATGTTTGCGCCGATCCCATGACAGCCAAAGGGATCGACCCGACACACGATCATACTCGGCACCATACTGTGTATGAGGCAAGAACACATGCATTGGCACCAACCCGCTGTGATAAGGCAACTGCAATTTGTCATGGTGTTGTTGTCTCAGATCACTCAACATTTTTGGCAGTGTTGGATAACATCCGAAATAACTTGGCAAAGTTCCCAACCAATGTTCAAAATGTGCAGCTGGAAGCCCAAGATGCAGATCACGATGGAGTACTCATCTGCCCGTTTCGAACCTCAGGCACGCCTAGCCAAATCCCAGTGCAAAAGAATTTGCAGAAGCAGCGGCTCAGGTACGAAGATGCTAGCCACCAATTCACCTTTCAGGTATGCGATGACATCCCTGCGTGCATGCAAAGTACCCATGTCCGTAATTCAGCTGGCGATGCACAGTCTCGTGTACAGACCTGTGATGACAGACTCCGATGGGATGTCTCTCACAAGGCCGCCATCCGGCTTCACCATCATGATCATGATCTTGCCAATCAAGATCTGCATTCGTCAGTCCGCCTGATACCACCGCGTCCACTGACAGCCAGCATGGACAATAGGACTAGACAGCTTCCGACCTTGCAATGCCGATTGGAGCATGAGAGCCCCATTGCAGCCTTTGCGGCCAGGCTTCCAGAAGATGGTACTCAAGGGAATCATGAACAGCATGAACAACAGCCGAACGTCCCTGTACAACCTGCATTTGTGGATGACCTATCCACTCGACTTGCTCGTATGGGGTACGATGTTTGGGATCCTGATTTTGATGTCCCAGTCAGAACCTGGTACATTGACCATGCCACCATTCGTAGATGGACAGCGCCACGGAATCTCCAACTTGTCGGTCCGCCACGTGGATGGGAAGCCCAATTCAGTTCCTTGTGGGTGGATCAGATAAACCCGGATGATTGGTTTGATGTCACTGTCGTTTACCCGGACCCCCCCAGAACACCAAGAAACAGTTTCATCATCATGGATTTGATCGTAACACAATCCCTCCAATTGGACAGATTCCCTGGGTTAGTAACGGTTTTTCCCACGCGCCATGAGGCCTTTGAACTGTTTTCAGTTGCGGCATCATTTGAACCTCATGTCAGTGGTTTTGACATTGCCCAAGCCGCTGATGCTGCAGACATGTGCAGATACCAAGAGCGTACAGTCACATTTGGTTGGCAGGAAATTCCATTTACACTCCGACCTCAACATGTCATGGCTCATGGGGACGGTTTCCAACTGGTTGTTAGTCACCAACTGGCCAGGCTAATGGTGTCATCCAGTTCACAGGCAGCGTCCACAGCCGAGAGCTCCACTGCCCGTACGGTCCAACCAGAACCAAGTGATCGTCAGACTCATGAGCAACCACAAGCAACCAGCCCTGCACAGAGGTTCATGACACCGCTTCATATATTCCAACTGGAAGGCCACGAAGTTGTCCTTCCTTTGGTTAACGCACAGTTAGCGCAACCGACCAATGCAATGGCCCAGGCATTGCATGTACCATTCAATTGCATCGAGGCCTTGCACATTATGCCGATTGCACCGGACGGATTCCCAGAACTCGCCATACCAGCCATCGTCCAACGAGTTGGTGACCTTGACCTACATTCGACAGACAGGTTAATACTGATTGATACCATTTATCATCATCACCCGGATGCAGCAGGACTGCTGAATCGCCCCACGGTGGTCAGAGCCGTTCAGCGAGTCTCCTGTCAAGTCACCCGCCAGCAAATCCTATTCAAAGCTGCGGTTTATCACTACTGCCAGTTTTTGCAAGAAGGGTGTGCAGTGAGCCTTGATGGATATTTGTGGCCTATCAATCATGTTGATCCCCGCCCTGTGACACATGGCTCCTATGCCACAGTTGATGTCCCACCGCCATATGGCAATCAGCTTGATACCCAAATGGTGGCCGACCAACTGCATGAAAACGGCACCATGGACACCATGATGAACTGGTTGACTGAGCCTGACGACATGCCAGATGATACCATGCAACTCATACAGGTGGGGGCAAACACTAGGGTAGTCACTGCCATGACCAAGCATCACATACGGAGGATTTGCCAGAAATATCCCCTCCCCGCAGACGCTGATGTAGCTGATGACTCTAGGTCTCCTTCCGCCCATGGGCATGAACTTACTGAGCAGCCTTCGTCCATTGGTCCGAAGTCAAAGACCCTGGAGCCACAGGTTGGTGATGCCCCCACTCAGATGTCCGATGCACACAATGGATCTCGTGCGGCACCAATCAGAGAAGTTCCGTCCACAGATCACCTTCCCACGAATCCGCTTGCCCTTACTGACCAGTTGCATAAACAGGCAGGGCAGACCAAGTTGCATCAGTTTTTCAACCGCAGCCAAGGCACCCGGTCCCAGAAGAAAAAGCAGCCAAATCAAGGTCAAACGACCTTACATGCGTTTTTTCCCCGTGCACGCAGCAGCCCATGCTCATCGCCAACGACTGCCGAAGCCAAACCTGACTTTCATGTGGAGCCACAAATGGCCGCTGAACCTAAGTGCACCCCAGAGAACTTTGAGAACGATGCCATAGATCACAAGTGCTCAGCCAGCCAGGAACGGCAGCCGCCAGTGTTCACCACATCACTCCCAGTGCAACCTGCAGTACCCAACCCTGAGCCAAGACCACGGCTGGCATGGCGTATTCACCTGGCCAGCATTTTTGATGAAATGGCAACGGTTATTCACCGAGAAACCGGCCCAGTCATGCAAGTTGAAGTCTGGTACATTCACCACAGAAACTTCCCGGAGTGCGTCGCTCCTCGAGCCATAGAGCTTGACAACATTCAAGAACTGTGGTACGCAGACCTTTGCAATCTCTGGTTCGACCGCATCCAGAGGCATGAGCCAATGAGAGCGGTCAATGTTTTGCCAACACCCCCACATCAAGCAAGGCCTAGGTCAGCAGCCCATATCATTTTGGAGCAAGGTTTCTCTCCTGACAGGATTGCCGTTCATTTCACTGCCGTATTCTTGGGTGGCACGCATCTGGGACTGTTTCAACGTGTTGAATCCTGGCCCACAAGGCTCTGCACCAGAGACATGATTGTGAAGCATGGATTCCAGCTGCAGTGTGACTTCCGCCCCTGCAACATGCATTCTGGATACATCAGGTTTGCAATGGACGAGCGGGAGGAAATCTTTTCAGGCATCTGTGTGGTTTTGACGGTAGCGCCACCGCCACAGGAGCCGCTGACTCTGCCGCCGCAGCTTGAAGTAGGGAACATTGCCCTACAAGACCATGAACCGGTTCATGATGCACATGCATTGATGCAGCACACAATTCAACCTAAGAGGCCACCAGCAGGAATCCGTCCAGCGGACCCGCCAACAGTCAATGTACATAGTCCTGCACCGATGTTTGATCACCGCATGACGCCAGCAGCACTGACGGACTTTCGTGCCACCCTGATGTGGCAGCTTGGCATCCAAGCAGGACGATGCAGGATCTCGCAAGATGACGCCATGCAAGTTCACACATGGTACCTCAACTCTGATCGATGCATACGCACTGAAGAATCGCGTGCTGTCCAATTGCGGCCGCAACCACACACATGGCATCAAGACATCGTTGAGCGCTGGGTCGATCGCTTGGACCCATTGTACCCAGTGCAGTTGCATGTGGTTACTCCCAACCCGCCCAGCATGTCACTCACACCGGAAGCACATGTTATAGTCCTTCAACGTCCCAATATGCTTTGGAGGAGTGCCTTGCTGACGGTCTTGCAGCCAAGATCTGACCCATGGCACTTGCAATTTGTGTGTGCAATGCTGGACGCTGAAACCTCACTGGAACAATTGGGGTTCATCTCAGGGGTTACCCAGCCATCTAACCCGGCAGCCCATGTCTCAGGCATCACCGCCAAACAAGGCCAAGCTCAACTACATCGAGATGGCACGTTCCCAGTCCGGCATGGTTATTGGTTTGACATACAGGCCTACAGCTTGGAAGACCCTATGGATGATGAAGTGGCCACAATTCGGCTGCACTTCACAACCATCCGCAAGCTGATGGGTGACATTCAGACTAGGGTTAGTCATACTGCCTGGGCATCAATGGCTCCCGAAGTTGCCCAGCCAAATCATGACATGCCAGCAGCCTTGACGGTCATTGTGAACCCCAACGACCCCGGCACGTATCTCAATCCCTTTGAAGCTCTCCCATTTTTTACAGCGCTGCAATCCTACTGGCAACCATTGGCTCTGCTGCAACCGCCGGAATTGCCTGCATTGGTACCAGTCGTCACCTGGTACATCGACCACATTCGTTTTCCCCAATGTTTTCAGCACCGGCTGGTTCTCTTGAACCACAACCCGGCTGATTGGATTCAGCGTTTGCGCAGTGTCTGGATTGACCTGATCTTACTCCAGCAGCAGATGCAAGTACACATTGTACAGCCCCATCCGCCTGAAACGCCAATGCACGTTGCTGCTCATCTTATAGTTGTCCAGCAACCTATCGAACGTTTCCGCGCTGTGCTCATCACTACGTATGACTCAGCTCTGCCAGATGAGCCGCCCACCAACCATGCCTCCATCACACCCACCCCGGTTGCCTTTTCAACAGTAGTTGCCTTGGCCTACCGAGACACAGTCTGCCAACACCCTCAGATTGACTGCGCAGTGTGGGTTGGAGAAGAAGAACTCCCACAAACAGAAGAACGCCAGGTAATCAATGGACACTCCCTAGTTGTAGCTGTTCATCGGCACAACCAGCCAATGCCAGCAGGAGATGTGGTATGGGACCTGGCTAGCAGGCATTGCACGGGGGAGTCCAGACCCCCCTCCCCTCCACCTGCCTTTGCCAAACAAGAGATGGTATCAGCAGCTCATGAAAAAGGTCACAGAGTGATACTGAGTCTTGACGCCGTTTTGCCGACAGCCCCACCCAATACCACATGGGATGACAGTCAGCCCCAGCTCCTCTGGTTCACCCATGAAGCATGGCTATTCAAGCTGTCCAGAGCACCACCGTGCAAACTGCACCCCCTGCCAGAGGGTTTGCGTATACAGGATGTATGCTATTGGCCCCTGATCCATCCCACACCAGCTGACCACCCCGCACATCAGCTGACCCTCTACTTGGATGGAGCGGCTAATGGAACCCACGCGGCATGGAGTGTGATTGCCACCATCAATTTGCCCATTGGCGAGGTCTTCATTGGATGCATGTACGGGTGTGTTCATCTTGAGCCTGACAATCCTCAATGGATCGGTGCTGATGCCATGGACAACATAGCCGCTGAGCTTTCAGCCCTTGCTATGGCTCAAACCTGTGCACTCCGCTGGCCTTACAGTGATCACCTGATATGCATTCGACCTGATCTCTCGTTGAGCCGCACAGTTGCCAATGCCATCACCACATGCCGTTCAAATGACCGGCTTGCCCAGCTATGCCGCATCCAGGGATTATGGCTCGCATCCAGGACCGAGATTTTAGAAATCCGTGGCCATCAGGGCCATGCTTGGAATGAGCTTGCCGACACAGTTGCAAAGTGGGCCCTGGTTCAAGGATCACAGGAAGCGGAACCCAGCATCGAGGCTCTCCATGATTTTGCACTGCAAACCCATGATGTTGCCTGGGCCTGGATGCAGACTACTCATCCTGCCCTCTCCGCCTGCTTCCCCTGTCTCATTGACCAGCAAGTCATGCAATTCAACCCATCCAACATGAGGGTTCAAGCCACCCCCAAGGAGCCAGTGCTCAATGCCGACCCTGACCAAAGCCATGCCCAATGGGACATCACTGTCATTACAGCAAATGTCCTTGCAGCTGAAGTTTGGAGTACGCAGCCACAGGGGTCTAGACGAACAGGCCAGCGCACCCTTCGCCTTGATCATCAATGGCACAAGCATGGGGCTCATGTGATTGGAGTGCAAGAAGCCCGCACGGCAGCAGGGCAGTATCACTCTCAGCACTATCGCATTTTCGCGTCCGGAGCCACAGTGGCAAGGGCGCCCCTCTACGGATGTGAATTGTGGATACACAAAACCCAGCCAATAGCGCATGACGCACAAGGCAATCCCATCACCCTTGGAGATGCCAAAGTCTCCATCCGCCATGCAGACCCCAGACGTCTTGTTGCTGTAGCGAGCATTGGCCAGGTTCATTATACCTTTGTCGTCCTACATGCGCCATGCCAAGCCACACAAAGCACGGAAAACCCATCAGACGGAGACGTTGTAGCTGAATGGTGGATGGCCACCAGTGCCATCTGGAACCGCACAGTCACCACAGAAATGTGCTGGGTCCTTGTTGATGCCAATGCGCCCATTGATGGGGAACATGGATACCACACTGGCCCATTAGGTGCAGAAAACCCCAGCAAAGCGGGCACGGCTTTCATGCAATTCTTAGCCGGCGCTGACCTTGCGGTTCCCAGCACCTTCCCGCACATCCACAAAGGGCAGACTGCCACGTGGTCCCATGCCACAGGCAAACGTAGCCGTAAAGACTACATTGCCATCAAAGCCAAGATGATGCAGCTGGCAACGCATAGCTGGGTTGACATTCACCATGACAACACTTTTGCCCATGCTGACCACCTACCGGTAGTCCTTTCCTGCAAGGGCTGGCAAAAGCTCAAGCCTATTGCTCCAGCTCTCCGATGGGATGCAGACAAACTTCTGGACCCAAAGTGTTGTCAAAATTTTCAACATGCTCTTAGTACCCTGCCTATCCCACACTGGTCAGTTGATGTTGACGACCATGCAGCCATCCATGAGGCTCAGCTCCTGCAGCTAGGTCAAAATTTTTTTGCCAAAGCCCCAAGCAGGACCCACAAAATCGTGCTGCAGCCTGATACACTTGCCATCATTGCTCTCAAGCGCCAAGCCCTTGACTATGGCAGAGCTCGCCAAGAACTTAACCATCCACCTTTCAAAGAGGAACTTCGGCAGTTGGAAAAACTGGTCCACTGCAAGGTACGCCGAGACACGCAAGCCTTCTATGATGCCCTCTTGGATAGGCTGGAACATGCAGGTGAGCTCCACAATCATCGCCTCGTGTACCAAATGTTGGCACGCCTGGGCCGAAGGAAAGGAGGCAAGACATCAGGACCGAGACCACTTCCTATGTTGAAAAAGGAAGACGGCACGTTTGCAGCAACATACGATGAACAGCAGCACTTGTGGATGACGCAATTTGCCGCAGTGGAAGCCGGTGTCCTCTGTATGTGGCCCCAGTTACAACAGCAACACAGAGCAGAAGCAGAGGATCACTGTGTGAATGTGCACGAGATTGATCCGGCGGCCTTCCCCACGGTGTGGCAAATTCAAAGCCTCCTATCTCGGCTGAAGCGTGATAAAGTGCCTGGGCCGAATCACCTGCCCCCGGCACTGCTCAAAGCGGGAGGTGAAGTCATGGCACGCCATCTCACCATCTTGTTCACCAAAGCAGCGGCCGCTGCCCGTGAACCCTTTGCTATGGAAGGGCGGCACATTGATCCCGCTGTGGAAAGGTAAAGAACCACCTGATTTGCCATCTGCCTATCGAAGCATCTTTGTGTCCAACTATTCGACCAAACTATATCACCAATTCATTAGGCAGCATCTAGTGGCAAATTGGGAGCCGAAGGCCGACCACTTACAATGCGGTGGCAGAAAGGGAGTCGGTGTCGATATTGCGCACCACGTGATCCAGTGCCAGCAAGCATGGGTCACAGCCAATGCAATTCCATCGGCAATTCTTTACATCGACCTTAGGGCTGCCTTTTACACAGTAATTCGGCAAACCTTCACAGCGTTGCCCTGCAAAAACCAAGCATTCATGCACGCGATGGCCACTCTTGGTGTGCCCATGCAGGACATAGCAACACTTTTGGAAGCGGCAGACAAAGAGTGTGTGACGGAGGGCCTCTCGGCACACCTACAAAAGGTGCTTCATGACATGATGACCAACACGTTTTTCACCATCCCAGGCCTCCAAGATCCATGCAACACAACGCGGGGAACGAGACCCGGGGATCCGGTGGCAGACATACTCTTCAACCTTTGCATGACCAACCTGTTGAGGAGTTTTCGCACATGCCTTGCACTCCACTGCCCCATTCCATGGCTAGGCGAGGAGGCCCCGGTTAGCGACTTCACTGAAGCCAGCCCCATGCCAGCTGAAGGATTTGTTGATGTCACTTTTGTGGATGACTGTGCCATGCTTGTCCACGCTCCCACCAACCAACGTATTGAGGAAGTCATTAAAGCCCTTGTCACTTGCTTTGACCAGGCTGCTCAGTCCAGAGGCTTGCAGGTTAACTTTGACAGAGGCAAAACGGAGCTACTTTGGAATGTGGTGGGCAAAGGGGCCAAAGCCACCAAGCAAACTCTGTACACGCAAGGCAACACCCTCACATGGGACCACCAAGGCCACATGTACAGGCTGCACGTGTGCCATGCATACAAGCACTTGGGAACCTGGACACAAACCAAGCATAGACATGCACGCGAAGTCCTGGCTAGAGCCAGTGCGGCGCGACAACAATGGGGCCAATTGGCGAGACCTTTCTTCCGCAGGCAGCTTTCACTGGCCACTAGGGTGCGAGTTTTTCAAGCCCTTGTTGTCTCCAAGATGCTTTACAATGTGCACACGTGGGCCGGAGCCAAACCAGAGGAATTTGCCCACTGGAACAATCACCTCCGTGGCCCCATTGCCCTGCTCATGAAAGGGGTCCTGGCTGCCCAACGAAAATTCAGACACCCCACCGACACCTTATGTGCGTGGTGCGGGATGCTGCCCCTGCCCCAACAAGTGCACCTCAATAGGCTACGCTTTGCCAAACGGTTGTTCCAAAGGTGCCCAGCTATCGCCTGGAGGTTGTTGAATGCTCACCAAGGCCCCACCTCCTGGCTGGCTGCTTTCCAGGACTCCTGTAGCTGGATGCAGCGGCATTACGATAAGCCGCACCTGTTACCCACAGGCACATGCCTTCAGTCCTGGATTCAACACATTTGCCTTGATGATCACTGGAAGGGGAAGGTCCGAAAAACTGGACGGCTTGCCCTGCATTACAACACAGCCCAAGCGGAGCATGCCATTTGGCAGCACAACTTTGAGGCCGCAATGCAACAGGCAGGCGCCACCTGACCTGAAGATCCCGTCCCTTTTGCCGCCAAGGACCGGTGGAAATGTGATCTCTGCGACAAGATCTTTGCCAGTACCCGGGCCCTGGCCATGCATGCCAACAGAGATCATGGATATCGCAAAAAGGTTCGGTACTTTGCAATAGGAGCCACATGCCATGTCTGCAATACGTTGTTCCACACACGTAGTAGACTTGCAGTCCACTTGGAACACAACACCAAATGCTATGATGTGATCCTGGCCTGTTGGCCACCCATGCCTGAATTAGACGTCACCCAACTCGATCAGGAAGACAAGCTAGTCGAGGCGGCCCTCCGAAAACAGGGATGGTGGGCAACCAAAGCTTTTTTGCCGGCCGTCAAAACCTGTGGTCCATCGCTCCCACCAGCAGGCGATCCTGCCAGCGCACGAATGTTCCAAAACATGCTAGCCCGACGGCCCACCGATGCCGCAGCTTACCAACAGTTGCAAGGGCGCCGTATCTCTGCTGCACCGGCCAATGCCCCCGGCCTGTGGTGGCAAAACTCTGACCTCCCGGCATTTGTGATGCATTCCCCCCAGGGGATTGATACCGGAGGAGGTGCCTTCATGATGGGAGGCTTAGCCAGAGAAGCAGCACGGTTGCACATCCGGGCACTCGTTGTGGTACATTTCTCTTCAGGTTTCCGGCGTGAACGTGACATCCATCAAATTGTCGAACAGCACAACCTGGAACAGGCCACTCAGCTCTTTGTGCCGTCAGTAGATCTATGCATGCAACGGCAGCATGCAGACCTTGCCACGCACAAGGCGCTCCAGTGGTGGAAGCAGCGTGCCAAATCAGGGCAGCTAGTCTCCATTGGGGGCGGCCCACCTTGCGAGACGTATACTGCCGCAAGGCAAAATGACGGTCTCGGCCCGAGACCTGTTCGTTCGGCAGCACATCCCCAGGGCCTACCAGGGCTCACGTGGAAAGAATGGAAACAGATCCACATAGGGGACCGCCTCTTACGCTTCATCCTCGAGATGCTCCTCCTGATGTCCATCATGGGCTACAGTGGCTTTATCGAACATCCTCAGTTTCCTACGTGGGAAACCAACCGCAGCCTAACCAGTATTTGGTGTCTGAAGGCGATCCGGTTGATGAAAAGGCTCATGTGTGTCAGCCTGGTTTCATTCGATCAGTGCGTCTGTGGCGCGGCAGGGCGCAAACCGACCACGCTCCTGCTTGTGCGATTGCCAGCAGTCAGGCACCGACTGCTTCAGCTCGGCAATTCTGGTCGTTGTCATCACCATGCGGGAGCACACCAAGCACTGATAGGGAAACAAGAGGACGGCTCTTTCCAGACGGCAAAAGCCAAGATCTATCCACCCCTCATGAACGAGATCATCGGAAAGGCCATGCACGATTTTGCCCTGGGTATGAAACACCCAGATGTAGACAAGGAGCTCCCCAAAGAATTGGAGGTGTACACAGAGCAGCAGTTCATGGACCACACAGTCGTCCAACCCGATTACCACGGGTTCTGAGAACTGAACTGCCAGTTGTACACTGACACTGCCATGCACGGAGACCGAGTGCCAACACGGCACAGCAGCAGGAAAGGAAAAAAGGGGTGGGTATACCACCAGCCAGGTGATATGTCACTTTGGCTGTTCTGACGAGGTTGACAGGGATGTTTCGTTGAGATGGCATCAAAATAACCCACAGAAAAACCCGCTGCCAATTCTTGATTGTATTCGGCTATTTGATGAATTTGATGGTTGCTTGCTTGTCGCATTTTTTTGGTTGTTTTGAGTTCTCGCATTTCTCTTGGCAGAGTCCTATCCACGGTAGGTCCACCATCCCAATTATCCCCAAGCTAAGTATCCGTTTGGACAAGTTGTAGCAACGTTCAAGCGAGCACCAGAAATGATAATTCATATCATTCATAACTATCTTAAAACTTAAAACCAATGAAGTTCATTGCCCATTATAATGTTCTTGATTGGGTATCATGTTTCCATGTATATGTACACGCGCACTTAAAGTTATCGCATGTTTTGATAAGACATACCTCCTTAAAATTTGGAATATGAATTTGGATCCCCAAACAGGCTGCCTTAAAAGATTCATTGGCAATCTGAAAACTTGACTTTTGAGGCCACTCCTTTCTTAACCTCCCCCAGTATCAACCAAACTGAGCCTTGGAATTTCATCAATTCTGGTGAATAATTCATGATTGCCAGTAATTTGGTGCGAATAAATTGTCCAGAACTAGTGGCAATCAAAAATTAGTGGCCCTAGTCAATAATGTCATTATCATTTTATCATTGTTAATTGCCTTTAAGGACATTATCATTATCATTATCATTATAATTACACTATCATTCTTAATTTCATTACAATCATTTTTTGGGGGAAACCAAAAAGGCCCTGGGAAACGCACCCATCCATCCCTTTCCTATCACCAGACACAAACAATGACTGGCATGGTCATGTCCGAGCTGTCCAAACCGGGAGGCGCCGGGAGTGCCGGTTGGTGCCGTGATGTTTGTTGTTTTCGCCCACAAGATATATGATGATATAGGTATAGTCGGTATAGTTACCAGAAACCATCACAAAACCCGAGCGATTTGAGTTCAAATCCAACTTCGCGAACTCGTTTGGTTTGAGTTTGTAGCCTATCTGGATGTTCATTGGTGGAATCCTCTGGCCCAAAAAAGGATGGATGGATGTAATCTGGTTGGTGATCCCTGGTTGGTGATCTCATGTAATGGCACAAGTATATACAAGTATGGTTATTGTATGCTGGTTGGTGGTTTGGAATATGTTTTTCCATTTCATATATGGGATGTCATCCTTCCCATATTATTTCCCATTGTTCAAGATGGTGAAAACCACCAACCAGTATGGCTATTAACGCAATGCAATGGTTTGGCATGCTTTGGTGTATGGCATGCTATGGTCTGATGGTCTGTATGATCTCAAAGGTCCACAGTGGATCTTGCATCCGATGCGCAAAGCGCTCCGCGATCTCAGGGCAAACACCTGACCAAGTCATGAATGCAAGCATTTTACACATCATGGGTAGCTGTTTTTTTTTGGAGCACGGATGATCTCTAATCCCATCCCCTGTTTATATTACACAGATCCTAAATAGGCCGAATATGTGATTTCATCTACTCCACCATGGTTTATGGGCGGTGTTTAATATTCGAGGAAGGGGTTGTAAAACCATCATAAGCCCAGGAAATCATTATATTCCCATTGTATTCCCGTATCCTTGGCTATTTTCCCATGATTTTCCCATACCAAGGGGCAAGGGATTCGCAGAACACAGTTTTAGTACTTGAGCTGAACAACTGTTCAAGCTCCCATTGGAGAACCTCCTTGTGGCAGGCGTATTTGGGTAATTTTGGGTGCTAAGTCGAATGTGCCGGCTCCAGTGCCATGCTAGATGGTTTGAAGAGAAGGACGTTATTTATAGTAACTGATTGATGTTATGGACTACAATTGATTTACAATGGTTTTTAATTGTGAACCAGCCCCAAACAATATTAAAGTAATAGAGATTCAACCCCAAATGTTCCTCAGTATTTTTTTATGGTTTTATTGAGGTATTAATACGGTATTAACCACCAGGAAGCAGGGGTAAGTCCCATTCAATCTGTATAGATGGTTGGTGGTTTGGAAGATTTTATATTTTTCCATATATTGGGAATTTCATGATCCCAACTGACGAACTCATATTTTTCAGAGGGGTAGGTATACCACCAACCAGGTATAGATGGTTGTCCCCACCCTTGAATGTTCATCAAAAACATCATGTCAGCTAGTAAAAATCTCAGGTTCATGGAATTGGATGATGGGAAATTTTCAGGAAAACCCTATATTTGATGGTAAAAATCTATGGTTTCCTGTAGATTTTCCCTTAAACCAATCCATCACAACCCGTCCAGACTGCTGAATTCTCCTTTTTCCCCACAGCCACGGCAGCAGTGCAGGCAGTGAGTTGTTTCGCTCCCAAGATATCGTCGAGCAGGGCTTAGGAGGCCCTTGGGACCTGGGAGACTGGTGCGTTTTACGTAGGGAATGGATGGGTTGCTGGGGGTTGCTGGGATTATGATTGATAGTGATGATGGATCATTCCCGAAAATTCCCTGCTAAGCAGCAGTAAGTTGATGGGGAAACAGTTCAAATCGCCAACGATTATTGCTTCTGCAGTACATGAATCTGGCTTTTCAAGAGAGATTTCAGGGAGAGAGGCACAGAAAGTTGCAAACAAACATCTCATTGGTCGTGCACCTATAACATCTCACCATTTTATAAGGTGGAAATGGCTCAAAACTATGACAACATGTTGGCAATAACTTTGGTCGTACATGTGACCAATCAACCGGTAGATCTTCGGCTGTGTGGCAAAACCAACGACAAGAACCGTTTTTGGTAGGTACTTGAAGATATATATATATATATAATCCTCCAAAAAAAAAGACTAAAATAGTGAGGATTTACTTTTATATCTTAGGATAGGGGTGCTATCAGTGCTATCCTCATTTTTCGCTGCCCAAGCCATGCAGCCATCTGGCGTTTGGACGTTTGGATATTGAGATACTCGTGTTCATTGCTTGGTTCCACCAACTGTTTGTGTCATGGATTTTTTCAGGTACACCTCAGAAAGTATGTACCCCTATGGAATCCCCCCAAAGCCAGCCCAATTTAGCCCCCTCGATCCTCAGTCCCCTTGCGTGTAGGAGTGGGAGGGACATTCCTTTAAGGAAGGGCCCACCAGTTGTAGATTGGTTTATTTTCACCAATTCAACTACCACCAATCCAATTGCCAGCCTACGTAGTGATGAACAAACTTACCTACAGTATCTAGGAGGTTCGTTAGCTACATCGCAGTTTTTCCTCACTGTATCCCACTAGATCCTCTTTTTTTAAACCTTGGGCAACAACCCGTCAAGTTAATAAAATTGTTTACATCCCCATCACCCAGCATATCACTATATCATACAGATTCATACAGTATATCCTGTGAAATCTCCCCAGAAAATGGTTGATGTCCCATCTAATGTGAACTCCGGATGAGTAAACCCCTGGTTTACTAATTCTAATTGGGCTGGTACCATTTATAAAGGGAAATATCACTATTTTGGGAACACTCCATGTGGGGATATGTGACAACCTATTATTAACATCTGTTGAGGAATAAACATCCGGCTATATCATCCTCTATGACTTTGGTTCGCTAAGGATCCAGGGTTTTGACTAGTATAGTCATGTTAGTAAATTGGAGGTTTATTAATCCGGGGTTAACACAGTTATAAGTTGCTTCATACACCAGATTAACTATAGTTACATCTACCATAAACCATAGTTAGGCCACTTATATCTCAACTTAGCTATCTTTGGGGCCCCATCCTGCATGAAATCCAAGCTTTCGAAGCAGGCCTCTTGCAGGAGCTTCGCCAAAAGAAACTCTACGCCTCTGAATCACCTGCTTCGGCAATCGGCAATGCCTGAGGCAACCGCACGGGACGGCTTTAATGTGAAGAAATCGGTTGGGGGTACTGCTATTTTGGGTCAACCACCAATATTTATCATTAAAATATGTTTTTGGTTGTGCATATATACTAACCAGCTAGAGAGTTTTTATGTACTTCGTGTACCTAAGGGAGTTTAGTCAAAAAAGCAGTGATTTTTCATCAACAGAAACTGGATGAGAAATTGGTTGTTAACCAAAACGAGATGGAATTTGAGCATAATCTGACAAGAAGCAACACTGATGTGATTGGAATCAAGATGAATAGATAGATGTGACCGCAATTGGTGTTGCCGGCATTTGGCCTCTACAAAGACAATAGAAAGAGTGGACCTGTGAAGGCTTCGAATAGAGGCCCGGAACGGATGGGCACTGCGTCAACTGGCTTGTTTCGCTGAGAAAAATATGTTCCGCGTCAGCAGGGCTGCTCAGGATGTGATACTTGCCATTCATCAACCATCAACAATCACCTAGCTAATGTTTTTTTCGCACTTTGCCCCAAACGCCATTGCCGGTTCGGTGCTTGAAACCAAAATGGAGCACGTCTCATCCCTTGGTTGGATGAGGAACTTGCCGATACCAGCGAAAGAAAGCAACATAAAACAACCAAAAATTAAACAGCAAAAATCACGACAACAACAACAAAAAATGTTTGTTTTTGCTGGGCATCCAAGTTTGACAACGTGATTTTGATGTTTTTTTTTCCACTTCCATGGCTTGGCGAAAGTTCTTTCAGCATCGGACTGCGCAGCCATGAAGTGCCCGCTTGCCCACCATGGACAAGTTATCCGAGTTGTATCGACCACAACATGAAGGGCAACAGGATGTTTGCGCTGGTGATGTTGCATTCCCAAAAAGCATGTAAATCATTGCTAGGTATCGGATCTATCTCCATTCGTTGAAGAAATCAGGATACATCCTCATTTCTGTTGATCATGGTAGATCCGAATTTTGCGGAGGAGATGCCATGAAAATTGTGTCGGAAAAAACCCATTTCTGTTCAAGTCCAGGTCTCAGAAATAATTACGTGATTTCCTCAATGGCTCAACATGATAAGAATGCTATTTACAGATGAGTGAATTAATTCTAATTCAGTAAGATAATTACCTATGAAATCCTCACCTCATCTCGTAAAAATCCCATCTGGGAGTGCCCAAACTGGCGCGATGGCGATTCCAGCTGCAAACCGACAGACGGGCAGGCGCAATGATAG